TACTAAACTAGCTCTACCTACTATTACCACTAACAAGTACGAAGCATGACATATATTATCTTAGCAACTAAAGGTATTCTTACTCTTAATATCGATTTACTCTACATACGATAAAACAAGGGTACTAGCTATTCTATTTATCAACCCACTCTAGTGCTACAAAAATTACAGTGAGTGCATAATAATATAATGAGCCTACTGTAAAAATTTCATGGCTAAAGCTATCATCAATTTGCCACAACAATTCCTACAAATATTAATCTACATAATACTAAGCTCTCTAATTTGAATTTATGACCCTATCAGTATCATAGCTAACTGCAAACTAACTACACCAACAAATAAATAGTATTTTTGTGAACCTAACAAATTTTGTTTCACTATTATTGGACATATATAAGATTTACTAGAATTTATCAAAGTTCAGCTCAAAACTAAATTGAATAAGCATTTATTAATTCATTGGAAAATGGAAAACCAAATTCCACCACGTGGCCCAGAGCGTGATGGCTCGGCCTACTCCGGCGCAAACACGCGCGCGCACGCGATGCACCGGCGCGGCCCATCTGCGCGACGGCGGCCCGCGCGTTTCGGCTGTTTTACGAAAATGACCCTGACCTACCGACGAATCACCCTAAGACCCATGTCACTATTCCTATAGTCAGCTACTTTGTAGATAAACCCTCAGAAGAACCTGTCTTCACAACGGCGACGCCCTCGGCACCCGCGCGCGCACCAGCGCGGTGGCGCTGGCCCAAGGCAGTTACGCCAGCCATACCGACCCCACCCCACCCCCAAATGCGAGCCGATGCTCACCTAGGAGTAAACCCAGAGTGATGGGCGGCGACACGGCGAACGGAGATGCTGTCCCAAGCTCCCTCCATGACGGCGGACTCCTCCCTACAATGACGGCCACATTCCCGTGAGCCAAGGCACAGACAACGTGAATGAGCTCAAGGATGGGCATCAACGACTCACCCCGAACCTACCAGACGTGGTGGATTGACCGAAGATGGACCGAGCGAGTTTGGCCGCGTGCGCATGGACGGTGTAGTGGTGCACGGCGGTGGCAAGGCTACGTCAGGGGAGGCTAGGCGATGGTAGCTATTTGGCAAAGGTGTGCAGGGTGATTAGTAGGTGGAGGCGAAGCAAGCGGTGCAAGGAATTGACACGAGCTGCATTGGATATGGAGCTTGCCTTCGACGTAGACCGACACGGTCATATTGACCCCGCGGAACGGCAGCTCCAAATTGGAGCACAGCACGGTGAGGCTCGCTACAAGGTGGGGTCAGGTGGGTGGCTAGCTACTCAGCGGAGCCGAGGACGGGGTTAATTGGATTGAGGTGGCTGCACCAGGCCGAATTGAGAGGTGCGGGACCGGCGACCGTGGCGACAGCGGAGCAGGGGAACGGCCGGCATGGCTTGGCGTGGCGTTGCCATGGCGGAACACGACTGTCAATCGGTGCATAAACACGTATGGCCATGAGGCCATGGGGAAACGACCAGCGTGCACAGGACGGTGGCCGCACGGCCATAAACCGCAAGCCATAGTGGCATGGCGTCGGCCAGTGCAGCGTTGCATCGAGCACGATGTGATGGTAAGGGCAGGCGACAAACCCATGCATGGCAAGGCAACGTGTGGGCAGAGCCAAGCGTGTCCACGAGTGCACGGTACTACCAGGCGAGTGTGAGGCAGCAGCATGGCTAGGCAGACGTGATGACGGTGGTAGAGCGCACGCAGGCGACCCCGCACAAGCGGCCACGGCCAGCAGCAGCGGGATGTCGCGACGCGCGGAGTCAGCGACACGGCGAAGTGGCGGCAGTGGCTAGCTAGGGCAGCAGGCCCGCGGCAACAGCAATGGTGGCCAAGTGGCTAGACCCGCCGGCGCGGCGTGCATGCATGCGCGAGCATGAGCGCGAGCTGAGCATGGCAACGGTGGTGTGATGGCCTGGCGTGGAGCCGGCTGGTAGGCCCAACCAATAGCGATGGCGATGACGACGACTGGCGTCTTGAAGCGTGCGTCAAGATCGCGGCGGGCGGTCAAAGTGGTAGCGCCGAGGGCAAGCACAAGGTGTGACCGCCCCAGATGTACAAATCGTGTCGTGCACGCATTTTAAGTGGTCCTAAAACCCAACTCAATGATCCAATTGCTAAACCAGTTTGTCTACACTCAAGAGGGTATGTTAAACTACTGAAACAAGCCCTAATACCCTACCATTGCTTAACCCAAATTTCCTACAAAAATTGTTGAACTTAGCTTCGTCGAACCATTTTCCGACTTACGAAAATTGACTAAGTTCTTATCGGTTTTGCGTCGAATTCGATTTCCAAGCTATCAAGTATGCTAGCTAGCGAATCCCATTCTCGACCGCAAGTATTTCACCGCCACCTACGAAGTTTGTACCACAAACTTTATTCAAGTGCCGGGTATGCGTTCTATAGCATTTTCGTTCAATAAAAATTCATTTAGAACCCTAAGTGATATAACGCGACATGAAACATAACATTCGTTTCACGTTTTCGATGAATGTTTCGAGCCACAGAAATTGATTTACACTCTATAATTCATACACTATCATATGAACATGATGCACATGCAATGTTTTAGCAAAAATCGTACAATGTAACACCGAGAGTGTTACATCTGCCTCGGTGGGCGCTGCAGCCGTGGGGCCCGTCTCACCCGACCCCCGAGGGTTGGTTCTGCCTCGGCTGACTCCCGAGGGATGGCTCCATCTCGTTCGACCCCCCGAGGGGTGGCTTTGCCTCGCCCAACGTCCAAGGGCTGACTCTGCCCCGCCTGACGTCTGAGGACTGGCTCTGCCTCGCCCGACGTCTAAGGGCTGGCTCCACCTCACCTGATGTCTGAGGGCTAGCTTTGCCTCGCCCGACGTCTGAGGGCTGGGTCCGCCACACTCGACGTCTGAGGGCTGGCTTCGCCTCGCCCGACGTCTGTGCACGACTCCTTTATAACGACGCGCGTAGATAAGGCAGGGCACTCAAGTCAACCGTAATACCGAGGACCGTACCCTGCACACCTACAGGAAAGTACCATCAGGCCATGCTAGAAGGGTGCTTCACGACCTTCCAGGCATGTCAGAGCCCAAACAGTATTGTAGGCCATGCTAGAAGGGCGCGGATCCTTACGGAAGCTCATGACAATCACTACGATCCAGAAGAAAACTTGCATCATCCACGGTAACGAACATACGGTCACTGTGCTGCTTGCTCCCTATATGGCCGTTGATCAGCACCCTGGTCCACCGCGCCGCCCGCCAGGACGGTATGGGACGTGATAACTCAGTGACAATGCCAGGACATGGCATCATCAGTGGACAGACACCCAGCGCGGCCCTGTCAGGGTCAGCGGACATGCGCCCGGCGTGGAGCTATCCCTGTCACAGCCTGCCATGTCAGCAGGGCCCGTATAAAGGAAAAGGAAGACCCGACGTCCTTGAAGGACTTCTTTTGCCTCTTGCTTTCCTCTTTTCTCCCATATATAATCCCAGCTCTCCTTTAGCCTATAAAAGGGAAAGCAGGGCACCCCTCTAAGGGGATCGATTCAAGACATCACAGCAGAACCACTAGCATCGAACATCGAACACATAGCTGAGCAGCAACCGAGCTCTCTGCATCTATTCGATTTTTCCATCAAAGACTTAGGACATGTCCCTTTTTCACCTGTTTGTAACTCCTACTACGATTTTTTTAGTGTTAATAACACGAGCAGCAGCCATGAACTAGACGTATGGACATTCTGCCCGAACTAGTATAAACATTCTGTCTTTTTAGCACACCATCCGAGTCAGACGCGCAATAACACAAATTTACTCATTGGTGTTTATTCGAAACACCGACAACCACCTCCCTAGATTTTTAAAACCGTTCATTTTACCTCCCTGACACGGTCATAGGTGATTTTCAAAGGCAGTTTTATCTTTTTCTTTTTAAAATATTTTGGCTGAATTTTTAAAAAATTATAGTAAATCATAGAAATGTCATAAAATGGAAAATCTAATTTTTTTGGACTCCACATGAGTATGTCTACACAGTGAATATATAATATGGTATGCTTTAGTACAAATCTTTTGTTGTACCATTAGATCTACGTTTTTCTGTAATTAATTCAAAGCTGCAGTTTCTGTGGTCCAATTATGATGATTTTTTATGGTGGGCTAACTAATTATATGATTGAACTGTAGTAAAAATTTTATGCTAATTGGATCATGTATAGCTGAGTTATAGATTTATTTAGTTTTATGCTTATTAAATAGTTTTAAAATAGTTAAAAGTATGTAAAAATAGAAACGAGTATGAATTTTTTACTACAATTAAAGCATATAATAATTAGACCGTCATAAAAATTTCAACACAATTGAACCATAGAAACTACAACTATGAATTAATTACAGAAAAGCATAGATCTAAAGCTACAGCAAAAACTTTGTACTAGAGCATTTCATATATATTCACTGTGTAGATTTACTCATGTGGAGTCCAAAAAATTTAGATTTTCCATGTTATGATTTTTCTGTGATTTATTATAATTTTTTAAATATTCAGCCAAAATAAATAAAAAAGAAAAAGACAAAACCATCTTTGAAAAACACGTATAACCGGGCTAAGGAGGTAAAATGAATGACTTTAAAAGTTAAAGGAGGTGGTTTACTCGGTTTTTGAGTTTAGAGAGGCTAAGGAGGTAAAATGAATGGCTTTAAAAGTTAAAGGAGGTGGTTTACTCGGTTTTTGAGTTTAGAGAGGAAAACTAAACACGGAGGATATTCAAAATGGACTTCTAGGATATTCAAAATGGACTTCTTCCCTCTGCATTCTGGAAAGTGAGCCGTGGTAGTCCTACGTATCCCGGTCGTTGGACGTGTGCGTTATAGGACCTCCACCCGCTGCGCCCATGTGAGAGTGGGAGCATGAGAGGCGGGCCGAGCTTGGGTATGGGCTTTGGGCTCCGCCATGGGTGGCAGCCTGGCAGGGGAGGGAGATGATGGCGGAGGCCCGGACCCAGGAGACGAGGCCGCCAGGCGAGCACGGGAGCGAACGGTGACACTGTGACAGGATAAGTTGTACTGGCCGGAAACGCATCTGCAGGAGACAGGCGAGTTCAAAAAATTTCCATCATCCGTTTCAGATTCTCAGCCCAACTGAAACCGAGGGACAAGTCCTGCGCGTGCGCGATCCATCCATGGCGCAGACGCCGGAAGGCACCACTGCTCCCGTCCAGGCTCCGGACAGGGTGCCGCGGCCCATCTCGGAGCTGCCCGCCGGCTACGTCTTCCATCCCAAGGCCCGCAGCCTCCTCAAGAGCTACTACCATCACCAGGGCGCGCGGTGGCGCCATCAAGGACCCTTACGAGGACACTGTCGCCGACGGCGTCGACGTCTACGCCGTGCGGCCGGAGGCGCTCCCGTTCCCGCGCCGCAACAGGGGCCTGCACGGCCATGTCTGGGCCTACTTCTTCACCACGCGGCCCGCGGGCGCGGCAGGAATCGGCGAGGCGGAGGGCGGCGGCGAGGACGACGACTTCCGGGACGTGGCGGCGGGCGGGTGCTGGCGGCGGTACGGCGGCGGCGACAAGGAGTACGTCGGCCGCGACGGGGAGGTCTACGCGTTCCGCCGCAGGTTCGCGTTCCACGAGGCCGGGGCCCGCGGCAAGAAGACGGTGTGGAGGATGAAGGAGTTCCGCCTCAAGGAGACCGCGCCCGCTTCCGCGGTGTCGTGTTCCACCCCAACGCCAAGGGCCTCGTGATCTTGAAGGTCTGGAACCAGGTGATCCCAGAGGAGGAGCCGGCGGTGGACTACTACGGCAACGGCGGCATGAACGACGAGGAGGAGGATGAGGAGGAGATTGGACCGGTCGTGATCACGGTGGGAGATCCAGCCGCCGACCCCAATGCATGACAGGTGTGCATCACGCCGTAGCGACAAGCCCTGGCGGGCAGTTGCACGCGGTTCAGATTTCAGAATTGATGCGGATAGAGACTAGCAGACTCTGTTTTTGTAGATTCTTCGTGTTCCTTAGATGGGTTGGCTTTTTCAGGGTGGCTACCAAGAAAAAGTTGAGTAATCCTTTCTTACCACATTCCACCATCCTTCATGTTGCGTCCAAATGGCTCTTTTGTTCAGCGACTAGTCATATGAACATTTGAAGACAGAATTGGGAATCTGAACACACTATAAATGAATAGTACCGCAGGAAATAACACTTTTCTTGCGCTTTAACACATACGCTATCCTAAAAGTTAAATCTGAGTCATCAGTATAATTTGTTCTCGTGTTCTGAATCTGCCATCCGGGTGCAACTTTGTGGCCTATACTCTCCAGAGGTACGTACGCCCTGTTCACTTGGCTTATAAGCCGTACTTTTTCAACCAACGAACAGTATTTTCAATCACAACAAATCAGGCAACGGTACTTTCAGCCATGGCTTATCAGCTAAACATTTACACGTAAAAATAAATGCAGACACTTCCCGCCTGGTGCAAGCGGTAGAGTCTTACCGCCTGTGACCGGAAGATCCCGGGTTCAAGTTCCGCACAGAGCGGGAGCTCTCTGCATTGGATACGCCCTTTAGTTTTGCGAAGAGAAAACAGTAATGCCATTATATTTCAGGGAATAACAGTATGATTAGACAGCCACACAGGTAACCTCTCAAACAAAAAATCAAGTCAAATATGTACAGACAAAACTGCAGATAGCCCTTCAAGATTTTTGGATACATAACAAACAGCTAGACATTAGTAGTCTGCAACAAGTTCTTCTTTTCTAATTTCTGAAATTGCATATATTATCTAGGAATGAATTATTTACCAAGAACCTGTATAATCTCATTCTAAACTTCAGAAAGAGTTACTCCTGCTGGTTGGATCAAAGAGCAAGATTGACCCATACTGTTAAGAACTACTTCTGCAAGCCTCATCGATCTCCACTTCATCGAGGAAGTCCAAGGAACCGTAATCATTTTCTGCCTCCAACCGAATACCAGCAGATAGCTCCATTTTTCCTAGGGATTCAAGACCTTTGATCAATGTTGTATATGTTATCCTGTCAGGATCACTGTCCCAATTTCCCATTAGACGGAAACAATCCGTTGTTAATTGTGTGAACCCAGAATCTAGGAGTGTCTTCAGAAGCAGGTTGAAACCTTCAGTGTCAGGCTCCAATTGTTCCCTCTTCAGATATGAACAGGCTTTGTCGACCTCAATCCGCAGACCTTTGCTTGCAAGCACTGTAACAAGATCTACGTACCATAGCAACCTAGGCTTGTACCAATGCTCCTTCCGAATCTCCTCAAAGACCTATACAGTTTCAACTTGTCAGCAGTAGCACCACCTAGTTATCCTAATATGCATATAACAGCAGAGTAAGAACTAGGAAGAGTGGAAATAGATGACAAAACTTACAAGGAATATGTACCCAGTATCCCCCCAAAAGGCCATTTACAGAAGCTAACATTAAAAAGGTATAACTACAAGAAATTAGAAGTTTATAAATGGGTAGTAAATTGGTTACTTAAACTAGAAATAGCACATCTATATTATGGAAATGAGGTTTATAAACAACTATAGTGGGTACACATCTTTTTGGAGTAGTTTACAAAGGCTGACAGGTTTTAGCTAAACCATTGTTCTCAAATTTGTTATCTCCTTGAGCATTAAGACATGCTTCAGTATCCTATGAGGGCTGCAGGTGTTAAAAAATGGTGTCATTTGGAGAGTCCGCAGTGGCACGAATATAAGGATTTGGTCTGATCCTTGGCTACCAAGGGACTGGTCGCACAAACCAGTTACACCAAGAGGAAGAAATCTCTTAACCCGAGTGGATGAGCTAATTGACCCAACAACCGGGGAATGGGATCGAAATTTAATTGCACAGACCTTCTGGCCTGAAGACACTGAGGCAAATTCTCTCCATTCCAGTCCACATGGACGTGGATGACGTCTTGGCATGGCACTATGATAGTAAGGGCTTGTTCTCTGTCCGATCAGCTTACAAGGTTCAGAGAGCACATATGCAGCGAACCAGTTGGAGTGGGGACGCTAGTTCAGTACAAGGAAGGATAGCGGACGAGAATTTCTGGAAGCAACTGTGGGCGACTAAATGTCCAGAAAAGATCAAGCATTTTTTATGGAGAATGGCATACAACACTCTTGCCATGCAAGCCACTCTCGTCAGGAGAGGGGTCAAAAGGAGGACACGAATTGTGTAATATGCAACAGACATACTGAAGTTGGTGATCATTTGTTCTTCAAGTGCAAATATGTCTAAAGGCTCTGGCAAGAACTTGGAATGGAGGACAGCAGGACCTCTCTTGCAGAACAGATATCTCCAAAACATGTTCTAGAATATATCTGGAGGCTAAAGGAGAGGGACCAAGTGCTCATTGTCAATTTGCTAGGGCATTGGTGGACTGGAAGAAATAGAGTCAGAGAGGGAGAAAGGAGACGCGAACCTAGTGAGGCAGCGTATATTGTCTCTTTGCAAACTGATGAGTTCTTGAGCATCATGGAGAAAGAATTAAAAAGAACACGAAGGCTGAAACAGACATGGGAAAAGTGGGTTTGGACACTGTCAAGATAAATACAGATGGGGCATATGACTGCAATTCCGGAATGGGAGGATTGGGCTTTGTGATACAGAACTCTAACGGGGAGGTTGTCCAGGCAGGTGCGGGTAAACTGAGACACCTCAAGGACGTTTCAAATCTCAGAAAAAAGGGGAAAGGGAGGGGGGTGGACGCTTTTCATGCTGAACTGCTGGCATGTATGGCCGGAGTCAAGGCAGCTAGTCACTTGTGGATGCACGAGGTTATTGTAAACACTGACTGCACCATGGTCAAATTAGCCCTGGATGGCACAAGCCACAACCCCATGACAGGAATTAGGGTACCCCAGGAATTAATGATTTTACAAATTAGATGCTAATCTAGGTATTCACAGGCAATTGATCATCAGAATATGGCGAAGAATTTGCCTTGCAACGCCCAAATAGCCACCAAGGCCATTCCCACTCGGTTCGTGCGGTTGTCGGTGAAGCAGCAAGTGGACATAGCACCGCGTACCTGGAGGGCCAGGAGGGCCTCGCCCTGCGCGGCGAGCTCGCGGAAGACCGCGACCATGTCCGCCTTGAGGAGGCGCCGCAGCTTGGGCTCCACCGCGGCAGCGGCCGACCCGGCGTGGACGCCGCGGAGCGCGGCGCGCTTGAGGGACTGCACAGCCTGGATGGCCTCGGTGCTGAGGTACCGCCCTCGCTGCGTCGGCTTCCGGTTCTTGCTCCGGTCCCGCATCGTGATGGTCCTGGCGGCCGCGCTCCTCCGTCGAGCGCCGCTGCGGGTGGCGGGTAGGCGGAATGGTGAGCAGGCGGGTGAGGAGAGCATCGCCGTACAGTTCTGCCTCTACCTCTGCTCGAGTTGGATAGTGGTGTCGGGAGTAGGGTTGCAGTTCCGGATGGGTTCAGAATATCAGGGTTCAGAAACAAAAAAGCAAAAATACATGCTCAGGGCATGAAAGGCAAACATTGCACATCTTTCAGTTTGCAAGCTCTCAAGCCAGAGCACGGAGGCAAATTTGACACCACACAGGATGCACTTACTAACAAATTGGCATCGTTTGACAGAAGTAGATAGTGCTATCACCAAGTAAAGCATAAATGGCCTCACTCCAGAACTATCTTATCCCCCCCGCACACACACACAAAAAAACGAAAAAACCAATACAAGCCAAGCAAACTTTGAAGATCAGTTAGCCCAGTCTATTCATTTGGTTGGTCTTTGGTCTTTGGTTTGGCCTTTGGTACAGTCTTTTTTTTATGAGAGAAAACACCGTTTATTTGACCTGGTTTGAAATTTTACCGAAACCAATGTCAACAACAGTGACAAACTTTAATAAGTGAAGCTAGATGCAATGGATTCAAATACATTTTACTACTTGACCAGCGCATCCAGAGTTTTGCTCAAACATCAAATTTCAAATGCTACGGTTCAAAAAAAAATCAGTTGTTTACTACTTGCTTCACATTGATTTATGAAATCATGGGTAATATGTGAACTAAAATCACATCGTCAAAACTGTTTGCAAAAATTAATATAATTACTTCTTGAGCATCATCTGCAGCTGCAGGATAACCCTTTTTGTTTTGGCTAGAATAAGCTTAATCTGTGAGAGTAAAAATCATTGGACATCACACGAGTACCACAGCTTCTGAAATTTTCTACTACTTGATTATGAGTTTTTTACTGTTGCACATTACCAAGAAATAAAATAGCGTTGGTTCTACTGGTGTGAATTTGTCAAATTTACAGTTACGGACTGGGTTTTGCACCAAATTTAATACTACTGCTTGCCAGAATTTACCTATACAAGCCTGGCCTGCTCCTCCGACAGAAGCGCTATCCACGTCGCCTCAATTTTTTCCGGCCATTGGATCTGCAAATCAACGGCTCCAGTTCTCCCCACAAAATTCTACAGGGATCGGCTTCTCCTTTTATTACTGTATAGCTTCTACCTGTTTCCCTCTGTGAAAATCGGCTTCGTCAGGCTTCTCGTCGCGATGCGAACAAACGAATATATACTCAGCTTCCATTTTCGTCCGCTGTCCATATCCTTCTCAGTCCCTCCCGATAAAAAAAAAAAGAAAAACCTCCCTCTCGCTCTCTTCCCTCAATCCCTCATTATCCCGACGCCCACAGGGGCGACGACGACGGCGCCCGCCCTCCTCCTCCCATCTCCCTTCCCTCCCGAGACGACGACAGGTGACGGCGGCGGGCGCGAGGCGACGCCGCCGCCTGCAGCCGGCGTGCCGACGCGAGTGGAGCCCGGCTGCCCCTTCCTCTCCCTCATCCTCCTCGTCGCCTCCTGGATGCCTCCTCCCACCGGGCCGGCTGCGCTCCTCCGGCCGGCGAAACCCTAGGTACCATGCCGGATGGGCCTAACCCTAAACTCCGGCCTGCACTCTCTCCCCTTCCCTAAACTCCCTCTCCTCACTGCAGGGATCTTCGGCCCCCCTCCCCTCTTCGGTGCAGCGAGCAAGCTGGCCCAGTGTCCATGTTCTCGTGTTGTTCTCTATGTAAAACTGATATCCTTCCATGTACAGTGATGATTAGTTATTTAGTTGTTTCATTCATGTTATCTACTGAGGCTTGGGGATGATGCGATGATGATGTTTTTTAGACTGAGGCAATGGAATTGTGCTGTAATAATGATTATACAGTTATTTCATTCTTAAGGAATCTGCCTATTTTCGTTCTATTAGTTGCATATTTTATCCATTTTTTAGTCACCATACATCCATTGTCGATGAAGTCTTTGGTTCATACAGTTTATGGGTTCCTCTAATACTGAGCACACCCCATTGCCAATGATGGGTTTGCGGTTGGCCTTGCTACAAAGGTAATTTATTCCTTAGTGAGCTGCAGTATCAGGCTCTGTATTCTATTTTATTTATAAGCTATGCATTGCCTTCGTTCTTTCAATCCTATTCTATGACTCCTACAACGGGCATGGCTTTCCTGTCAGACATATGCTTCTCCTTTTACCTAACGTCAACTCTGTTCCTGTCAGACATATGACTTTCCTGTCAGACATATGCAACCTTAATATAACTTTGGTATATGGATGTTCATATTCTTTTACCCTTGCAACAAACCGAATTCGTATTTCTCAACCAAGAGGAGTACAATTGGAAAGTTCTAGATTGGGATATGTATGCTCATGGCGCAGCGCCTAAACATGAGATGGTACGCTTACATTTGTTGTACAAAAACTGCATTGATTTCTGTCTGGTGATCTCTCTTCACTTATGGCTGTTGGTCTTTACAGGTCTGGACCATCTCGGCCTGAATGTTTTGTGGATTCATCGCGCCCCAGGGCTTACATGATTTATTACTGACTTCATGTCTTCCAAGGCTTACATGATTTTGTGCTACTGCTTGTGCCATTCTTAGCTTACTCTTAGATAACCATGTACGAAAAGGCTGGAGTGGGAGGCAGCATTGTGCCGCCGGCTAATCTTGTCCCTGTCAATTGCATCGATGGCGTGGTAGGATTACCATTATGATGCTTCCTGTGATCCTAAAGGTACATCCGCTCACATACCTTAAGGTTTCCTCTCCATCTCTCCTATTTGTGGTCATGTAAATTATTAAGATCCAATGCTAAAATGCCGTCAGTTTAGCAATACCACAGCAAGTGTTTTGGTTAAGCAAGACTAGCAAATGCTCTTTGTTTTCTCTTTGTGATAATTTCAGAGTTCATAGTTCATTAAGGCTAATCTGGGTAGAGCAGCTTCCTTGCCTGCCAGATCATTATCTCCGCAAGGTTCTGATCTTATCTCCAAATTTAGCAAGAGGATTCATAAAAAAGCTGATTACGCATGTGAGGAATCCCATTGCTTTTTTTAAATCGGATCTTACGATATGTAAAAGTATGTTTGCTGATGGATCCGTTTCTGAATTTGATTTCTTAGCGATAAGGTGGATGCACGAATGGGCTGAAGCACACCGTCTGTTGAAAACAAGATTACTTACGCCTACCAAAAAAAATGTTTTTTTGTCGAGCATGAATCTTCATCTTCAAAACTATACAAGGTATGCCATGGAAAACATTTATTAGTGTTAACTAACACACTGCAACCTCAGTCAACAAGGAAGTGATAATGATCTACACAATTTTTTTCATCATTTGGGATACATTCCTCCTTAGTCTGTAATCCATTTCAGAAATGTAGGGTGTGTAAAATAGATATGGCGCAGACGCGCAATTCAACCTTTGCATCCATTTTACCTGTCAATTCAGATGCTCTCTGAAAATCACATGTCAATCATTATATATTCTACGAGCTGATACAATAGATGCATCCATCCTGATGCTTCCATCACCTACTGTTGGTTATCGTGAGTTTGTGCAGCTTGACAACTTCTAGATGGTCATGAACTTTTTATATATCTGCAACTTCAATGAAAAAAAGCACAAAGTGATGTTCTGCAGGCTACAAAAGATCTGGCCTACTTCATGCATACATGCTTAATTTACATTTTACCTGACATTTATTATGTTTCGATCACTGCAAGTTTTAGGAATTATCGGGAATACATAGCCTAACTTTTACAAACTAATCAAGATATCCTATGAGGTTTATGCAGCATGACAAATTCTGGATGCTTCCTGGGCTTCATCTCAGGTAACAAACTGTTCCACTCTTATTCCTATTCCATCTCGCCTATGCATGCTTTCTGCTGTTCTGAATGGTGATGGTTCAGTAATGGTGTTAGCTGTCCTTGGCTATCTGCGACCTTTAATACGCACTTCAACTTTAGGTATTCATCGCCAGACTCATAGCTACTGTGGCCTGTGAGATATCTCAGAGTGGATGCCTAATTTCGCATGGAAATTGTACAGTGCATACCTATGTCAATATATACATCGACCTTCTATGCTTTTGTTAAAGGCTTACTTTAGTTACTATTAAACGACACGCTTTTGGCTTCCATGTTTTTTTTGAGATTTCAAGCTCACTTCCCATTCTATGTAAATGATGAGCTCACCTATGTTACTTATACCAAAATTTAGTCAGATTTGAGTGAACTGTGATATTAATCCAATGGCTGTCTGATGATCCAAGCAAGTTTGGTGATTCCAATCTCCAGTTCAGGTGTGTACCTAGGCAGCTTGGTGTGTACCTAGGCAGCTTGGTACCTAGATGAGGCAGTACATTTTAGATGGAGTGCTATAGTTACTAGATGTACACTGTAGTTTTATTCATAGTTTCCTCTCAGTTTTCTACTTTAGCTTTTCACCTTGCAGCATGTAGCAGGCGCTCAAATGAGCTTTTATTTATGCTGCCCGTACCAAAATTGACTTTGAGCAAGCTTGGTTTGATGATCTCAGTGGCCATCTGTGACTGACATTGTGGATAGCCTGAAGGCCTCTTCCAGCCCTTTGAAGACTGTAAACTAAAGGTTATTGTAGTCATGCACAGGATGTAGAATTTGTTCTAAGTCGAAAAAGAATGTAGCCATGCTCTGAGCAGCTTATGTATGTTCTGTTTTCTCTGATGTAACATGTGTTTGTCAATCTATTATATATCATTGTAATGTGCCACCACCAAATATTATGTCTTCGAGTCACATCTATTCTTTGTCATATGGATATCGAGATTATTCCATTTATCAAATAGTCAAAAAAAAAAAACCAGGTGCAAAACCACGTTATTTAGCTACTTGACAACAGAGTCCACACGCTTTCACGCTTTCCAGAACGGGCGCGCCCCTTATACTAATGGACCAATGAACCTAAGACTGGTACCAGCAATAACATATATTTATTCTCGCATGTCTACCATTACTTCACCACGGGCGCGTGAGTGCGCGCGCAACGATACTAGTAAAACACATGGGAGAGGGGCTGGCCGCGCCGGTGTTGAGCATTATTCAATGTAAAGTGCGCCAAACAGAGGAATCATCTTGTTTGTGTTTCAAAGTACAAACGGATTATCACTGCAAGTACTTGGCTTTAGTTTTATGTCTTGCCATCAACCATGCTCTCGATCAATCCTCCGCCATGATTTACATAGCATACTTATACTTATGTTCAGTTTCCTAAGATCCTTGATACCAAGCCCACAAAGCTCCTTCTGGCTTTATCCAAGTTTTTAATCACCGTTTTGTATAATCGATAAAAATTGGACATATTATAGATGTGGTACTGACATTGTGCTACCTTTCTAAATATCCATCCTTTTTGTAGTTTTCTCTTTAAACGGGGCCAGTCTATAACATGTAATTTACTGGGGCTCACAAGTCACAAATACTGTAGAAAAGGTCATGTCTGACAATTATAGATCTGACACCATTTATCAGTATCATTAACCATTAGAACTCTGCTTTTCCGTCAATATAGCTTATTTTTCAAAAATACTATCATCGATTTTCCTGCCGGGGAAGTCGATGAGAGGATTTTCAAAGTAAAGTTTAGGGTTGATAGAGTTTGACTGATCAATTTGATTTATCCCGAAAGGACGTATCAAATGACATTAATCTGGTTCCATCTTCCCTTGCTATTGACGTATAGGTATGCGTATGCCTGTCTTTCGACACTTACCTAAGATTGGAGTAAGCAATTATAGCTCGCCCTATGATCATGATATGTTTATTTCGGCATATTATTGTGATTTCAATTATCATTGCCATTGAGATATGGTTTCCTGGGAGGAGGAAACCTTATCGATATACAGATAGACTTTTCTTTCGTGAAGGGAAGGTTATCGAGGTAAGCCCCCCTTGATCGGGGGTTTGGGGGGTGAATCAAAGAGAGAACAGAAATCCCCCTTGAGGGGGGTAGGGGGGTGGGCAAGCCCATGAACTGTACATGAACCATAGAGATCGCCGTGTGTGTCAATGGTTACACGTGTGCCAGACTTGCAAGTGTTACCAGATTTTATTGATCAGACCCCCATAACAATTCACATGGCACCACGATAGTCATCCTTCTTCCCACACGTTAATACAACGGCTCAACCAGACAACCGATACGGAGAACTTCTACTCGTGTAGGCGTATGCGGTATTGCCTATAATTAACGGCTTGTCTCTGTCGGCTTCCAATTTGCAGCTCCACACCACGTGACCACGTCACGCCGCCATCCGCGCGAGCGCCTCGCCTGCGCGCTCGCCGGTGGACAGCCGGAGCCTCCGGTAGTCGTCGTAGTTGAACGCCTTGTACCGGCGCGGGTGGTCCGCGTCCACGAACGCCTCCGGGGCGCTCACGCCGTCGTCCTTGGGCGCGAGCAGGAATATGGCGACGGAGATGCGCGGCACGGGCGCGACGCACCGCACCCGGTGCTTCACGTTGTGCAGCCTCCCGTTGCTCCACGCCTGGAGGAAACGCACGAGACGCTCAGCGTCAAAAAGCACGGCGCGGATTCGGCGGCCACAAGACTACGTACGGAGACGTGGGTACCGTACCGTGCCGACGTCGCCGATGTTGACGAGGAAGGGCCCGCGACGGGGTCCACGGGCACGAACTCGCCGGTGGCGGGTCCAGCACCTCGAGGCCGCCGACGCACTCGTCCTCCTGGAGCACGGTGAGGAAGCCCGAGTCCGTGTGGGTCTGCACGCCGGAGGAGCCCACCGTCTCCTGCGTGTAGTTGTACCTGTTGATGCGGAACTGGCACGGCCAGTCCTGGAACGAGTGCTCCTCCAGCCCCAGGCTGGAGGCCAGCTCGCCGGCGACGCCAACGATCACGTCGTGCATCTTCTCCGCGTAGGTCTTGACGGTCTCCCTGCGCACCGGATTGCGACCAAATTAGGGGCGGAGACTGCCGCCTGCCCCTCGGAGCGTCGGGGCAAAGGAAAGGACCATGAAAAGGCGCGATTTTTTTGTGCGGCACGTGTGAGGTGTGACCAACCTGACGTGGGGCGGCGCGTCGAGGCGGGCGCAGAAGGCGTCGACGTCAGCGGGCGCGGCGGCGTCGAGGAGCCCGAAGGCCTCGTAGAGCGGGTTGGCGGCGCTGGGCGGCACGTAGCCGCTGCCGGGGATGACGTCGGCGTTCCGGCGCTTGGCGTCGTCGGGGAGGTCGAAGAGCGCGCGCACGGCGGCCTTCATCTCGGCCAGGAGCCCCGCGGGCACGCCGTGGCCGGTCACCCGGAAGCAGCCCAGGCGCTCGCACGCGGCCCGCAGCCGCGCGGACTCCTCGGGCGACGAGCCGGCGAGGCGCAGGTCGATCACCGGGATCTCCGCCATCGCCGCTGCGGCCCCGCTAGCTGTAGCTGTGCTGTCCCGGACGCGCCGGCCGGGTTCGCTTTGCGTGGGTGGTGGGGGGCGGCGGGATTGGCCTCGCTTGGTGGCGGGTTCGGGGCTGTATTTAGAGGCGTGCACGAGCAGCGCGTGCTGGCGCCGCTTGTCGGGCGGACGGCACCGAGACTTTGCGACGAGCTGGTTGGATTGGCTGCGCCAGAAATTTACGATCATTTAGGAGGCAATAAGCCCAGCCGATCAGGCTTGTCGCCGGTTTGGTGAGACAAGCGACCGACACACCACGCTCTTAGCTGCTGCTGTGTTTTACGTTCCGGGGGGAAAAAATTATCCTATAGCGAGCTGATCGGGAAAACCGCGAATTGAAGCAGGGCAAGCTGAACTACTTTTCAGCCGGATGAGCTTATTTCAGCTTAGTTCTTCGTCACGGAACACTGTTGAATCTGAACGCCGGTGTTACCAGATTTACGAATTCGTCGCAGATTGGCAAGCAAACCGTTCCAATGTCACACCTTTTCCGTTGTGGCCGATTCTGGCAGCTTCTTGTTTGTTTGTCTCTTTAGAGGACAAGCAAGGCAGTGATGTCTGATGGGTCGTCGACTTGGAGACATCAAGATCGGATAGAAATATGTGGAATCCCTATAGAGCAGACAAGTGAGGAAGGGTCGCCATCGCTGAGACGTCGTACGTCGTAGAATACTACACTCCATGTACTGCCAGCTGTCTGTCATCGCTCCCTCCGTCTATAAAAGAATGTCACTGCGCGTGCCATCAAAAATAGTTTACGTTTATCTAGATTTTTATTGAATATTATTCATATTTACGGCTCCAAAATAATTTATTATGAAAATACATTTCGGAATTAATCTATTGATGTTTATTTCATATACTATACATATTATATCTTTTTATCTATAATTGATTGAATTTAAGGTAATAAATCATGACAGTGTGTTAGAATTACATTTTTTTTCATGGACGGAGGAGAGAGTACGACCTAGCGTCCAAAACACAATCTGTGCCTCTGCTGTGCTGCGTACACGGCGGCGGAGAATCGCAGAGCACTTTTTTGGATCAGCGATAGCCGATAGGCAATCTGGCTGCACTGCAAGATCACATTGTGGAAACCTTCATGCAGCTACCAAGAAAAAGATGAGTAATCCTTTGTCTGAAATTTCATGTTAGTCAAGAAAAGCAATGCAATTCCGTTTTGAAATTTCAGGTTACCATATTCCACAATCCTTCATGTTGCGTCCAAATGGCTGTATTGTTCTGAGATTAGTCGTCTCAACATTATCCTGAAGACAGAATTGGGAATCTGAACAAGGTATAAATGGATATTACTCCAATATCACTTTGCTTGCGCTTTTACACATAAGCTATCCTAAAAGTTAAATCTGAGTCATCAGTATAATTTGCTCTCATGTTCCGAATCTGCCATCCGGGTGCAATTTCGTGGTCTACTCTCTGGAGTCTGGATGTATGTAAACATTTACACAGAAAAACAAATGCAGTTTTGCGAAGAGAAAACAGTAATGCCACAATAGTAGGATTAGACACAGCCACACTGGTAACGTCTCAAATAACAATCTAAGATAAGTGTCTACTGACAAAACTGCAGGTACCCCTTCAAGATTTTTGGATAGATAAGAATCAGCTAGATATTAGCCAATGGTAGTTGCTGCAACAGATTCTACTGTTCATTTCTAACAATGCAATGCATAATATATGGGAATTATTTATTTACAAAGATTCCATATAATCTCATTCTGACTTCAGAAAGAGTAACTCCGGCTGGTTGGATCAAAGAGCAACTTGTTAAGAACTGCTTGTCCATGGAACCATAATCATTTTCTGCCTCCAACCGTATACCAGCAGATCACTGTCCCACAATTTCACTAGACGGAAACAGTCCATTGTTAATTCTGCGAACCCAGCATCTAGGAGTGCCTTCAGAAGCAGATTGAAACCTTCAGTTTCAGGCTCTAATTGTTCCCTATTCATTAGGCTCTTTTCTGTTCAGAGCGCTTTTCTACCGTGCCTTCTCGAGCACATCACCGGAGAATTCCGGTACCAGTGTATTGGCTGTTTCTTTCTTCGTTTCTTCGTGTCTTTGGGTCCGAGCTTCTTCTAACTTGTATCTTGGACTTTTAACATATTTATAGATCTTTAACATATCTTCTAATATCTTGTTTCAGGTGTCGATCAGGTTAATCTCCATGTTGCCCAAATCAAGACCAACCATGCATCCATTTGAGCCTTTCTTGTATACTTAGCAAACTTTATTAGAGCAACTCCAGCATGACCCCACTTGAGCCCTTAAAACTAAATTTAAGGATTTAAGACAAAAAAATAACAAGGTCAAGCAGGGCCCTACTAGAGCCCTCAAATTTGAGGCCCCACCAAATCTCTCCTTCGGCCCTCATTCCTAGAGGCTCTGGAGGGCACCCCTACTTTTTAGTTGCTGACATTTATCTCCCGGTCCCATCAAGAACCTACTCGCTCGAGCCCGATGTGCCGTCGCCCCGATGTGCCGTCGCCTCTCCTGCCCGCCTCCGCAGACGCGTCATAGCCAGCGATCGTGCGCATTGGGACGAAGAGAGAGAGGAGGGGGCAACAGTAGATGGAAGGGGAAAAATAATAGCAACGTGACTGACAAGTGGGTTCTAGAGGAGTAGGGGCTCTAACTTGAGGGTTGTTGTTGGAGTTGAACCTAGAAAAAAAGGTCCTCAAAAGTGAGGGATCCCTCAAATCCAAAGTAGAGGCCCTAATTTAAGAGCCATAACTAGAGAGAGACACTCTTAGTCTAAATGATCAAGTTGTTTATCAAATGCCAAAATCACCTAATGGCCCTTGCAAGGTTCCATTTTCCTTCAGCCTGTTCGGTTGGCTGGTTCGTATCGTTGCTGGTTCGTGAAGAAGTACTGCTGGCTGGTTTGTGTGAGAGAAAAAATCTTTTCGGCTAGAAATTTACGATCGTTTACGACAAGCCACAGCCAAACGAACAGACTGCTTATAGATGGGGAACAAGAGGGACCATCAACACTAATTTCTTACTTAATATGCAAATTTATTAATTTTAATCACTAATTTAATAGCTACTTAAGAGAATTTTCAATCAGCAAGGAGGGGCCATGGCCTCCTTTGGCCTTCATGTAGCTTTGCCCGTGGTCGTGATACCCAAACAGGGCCTGAATTTGCTTCGAAAATGCACTCCTTGATGGTTGTCTCGACTTAAAATGCAATACGTACAGTCATATCCTAGTAAGTTTGAATCTTCTTGACTATCACCTAAGGACACACATTGGTCTATTCTTGGAGTTTTGAGTTTCATTCGGAGCATCTCAAATGTACCAACAAGTGACAACCATTTCTACACATTTTTCGAAACCTCAGCAAGAGATTTGCTGAGTTAATTTATTAAAGAAAGGAGACACAAACACATAAGTACATGAAAGAGAACATGAAAAAGAAGCAGCGACAACTATAACTAGTAGGGGCTACACGTTAGCAGTCTGAAACATGCACTACCGGAAACAGTAGAATTACCGAGTGTCTGAGGGTTTACCGAGTGTATTTCATCGAGCACTCGACAAACATCATATTTACCAAATGTTTTTAATTCAACACTCGACAAACATATAGCACTCGGCAAAACCCAACTTTGCCGAGTGTCTAATAAAAAACACTCGGTAAACTACAACGAAACACTCGGCAAACACGGACACTCGGCAAAGTAGAGGCACGTGCGCTGGACGTGCGGCGTCCATGTGACGGCCATTGGGTGCGCCGCCCTGCCGTTATAACTTTACCGAGTGTCCGTTAGAGACACTCGGCAAACTGATATTTTTGCCGAGTGTTTTTTTTGACACTCGGCAAAACGATATTTTTGCCGAGTGTTTTTTATTGGCACTCGATAAAATAATATTTTTTTCTCTCCTGCCCTCTAAACATTTTCTACTCTCCACATACAACATATGGTACTACATGTTAAAATTTGGCATATTTCTCGATCTGTTTGCTATATTTAATTAATTAATTGCATTTAGAGGAATTTTTTGGTTTAAGTCAAATTTGAACTACAAGTGATTCAAATAATGGAATAAATTGAGTGGAGAAATCATATTCATGTTATTGAGTCTATTTTGGGGCCTTACTCGGGAAATGAAAAGAATTTTCGAACATATTGTTCAGGAAATACGACCACAAACTTGTGGCCGAATGGTTTTTAAATTCTAAAAAAACAAACGAAGTCTGAAAATGACGAGATTTGTCAAAATCTCATGATATCATATGTGGAGACTATGGAAAAAATTGAGAAGGTTTCGCACAATTTGTCACGTACGACCTTTACAAACCGAAGCATCTCCGAAGAAGAATCAAAGCGTTGAGAAGGATCCGGTAAGATTTAGAGTCAAAGTGACGGTTGAATTGGGGTTTGACACAAAACTTTTTGTATAGGCAATAGACAACATAGATTGGTGCACGTTAAATTTTGGTAATTTTTCGGATCCGTTTGATAATTTTAATTTATTAACTGCAATTATAGAATTTTAATTGATATATATTGAATTTGAGCTATAACTGCATGAAATAATGGATTAATATTCGTAGAAAAATCAAATATGCATTGTTGAGTGAATTTGACAAGGTATTTTTAAATTACATCGTAACAAATTTAGCAAATCACGTTATGAAGAAGGAGGATGGGTGGGCATGAAATATCAATTTATTTTACCGAGTGTTAACTGTACGACACTCGGCAAACAATATAGTTGTCAAGTGTTATATAGTGGACACTCGACAACATACCCAAGCCGGCCCCACTTATCAGTACCGTACCGGTTGGGAAATTAAAAAAACAATGCCGAGTGCCAGATCCAGAAATTAAAAAAAACAATGCCGAGTGCCGGATCCAAAACGTACCGGTTGGGAAATTAAAAAAAAACAATACCTTTACTTTGCCGAGTGCCAAATTGCGGGCACTC